GCAAGAAACCAAATGTGTCACATAGTATTTTCTTTTGCGTCTGTCACAAAGCTGATCTCAACACACTAGTGCACAACAATTTCCTTACCAAGCTTTTTGAGCAAAAACTACACAAAAATACGAACAGGACACTTTCCGAGGTCTTTATCGATGCAGCTTGAGCCGTTTTGTGCACGCTAACAAGGACATCAAACTTTATTATGCCCTTGTCCTGTGTTTATATATGCAGGTATACTGGGCATATATTTTTTAGATGCGGAGCATCTAATACTCGAGGCTTGTAGTGCGGCGCCGTCCGTAAGCTTCCTCCTCCTTCTTCCACCATCTGTGCATCCCTTCCTCCTCTACACACCGCGCGCGCTTCACTCCTCCACCATCTGTGCACCCTTCCTCCTCTACACACCGCGTGCGCTTCTCCTCTTCACGAACATTCGCTAGCTGTATAATGTAGCGCGCATGCGCCGTCACGCTTCGAGAACATTGGCAGCTGACGCGCGCGCATGCGCCGTCGCGCTTCGAGAACATCGGCAGCTGACGCGCGCGCATGCGCCGTTGCGCTTCTCCCGCTTCTCGAACATTCGACAGCTGACAGTGCATGCGCCGTCGCGCTGTATATATACTCAAGGTCGGTGCTCGCTCGCTCAGTTGCCGCTCGTCGGTTGGTTTGTACGGCGCGCCGACGTCCAAGGTCGCGGTGAAATGAATTCCAACGAATCCACAAACACAATGAACGACGTCCCTTCGACCAGCGCCACCCTTTCGCATACGTGTGTACGTGTTCACTCATTTAACACCCCCTCCTACAACCACGTTAACCAATTTAGCCATCGACCCAAGTAAGTCGCAATTTAACACCCCATTTCACAACCACGTTAACCAATTTAGCCATCGACCCTAGTAAATCGCACTTTAACACCACGTTAACCAATTATATGCTCTGCATTCTCCTCAGTGTTCCCCCGAGGGAAGCTGTGGGCAATTTTTTTATTTCTAACTCAAACTCATTCGTTTCTGCAGTATCGTAACGACGCTTTTTTTAAAGGAAGTCACTGCATCTTACCCCTTATTTCATTATTTATTTATATTTATGTGATCTGCTTTCCCCCACAGAAACTGTTGAACCAGCTACGGAACAACTTTTTGGAAGGTTTAACGTTGTTTCAAAAGGTTCCTTGGAGATTATGCTGCGAACGCGATCTGTGCAGTTTGTTCTACAACCTATGGCAGGCGCAGCAAAAAAGATCGAAGATGCAATCACCGATTAAAAAAAACGCTGTTTTCCACCGATAATAAAGAAAACAATTAAACAGTTGTATTAGAATATGAGGAGTTCCCGCACTAGCGGTTCTCATAAAACAGCGCAGAATGTCTTTGACGGCAATGCAAGGTGACCTTCACGAGATTTCGCTGTAAAGTTCCCGGGATGAATTACCATGCTAAAAAATCTTGCTCCTCATTTACTAACCTATGTGTAGTTTTCACTGAATATATATATATATATATATATATATATATATATATATATATATATATATATATATATATATATATATATATATATATATATATATATATATATATACTCTCTGAATCCGTCGTTTCGCCTCACTCCACCAATTGTTTCTTAAAAAGCCCCCTCGTGTGCCGGGATTATTGTTGAATAATAAGTGGGGTTTGACCTCCCAACAGCACCATATTATAAGAGATGCCGTAGTGGAGAGCTCCGGAAGTTTAGATCACCGGGGTTCTTTAACGCGCGCCCAAATCGGAGAAAACGGGCCTACAGCTATTTCGCTTCCACGGAAAATGCTGCTGCCGAAGCCCAGATTCAATCCCGCGAATGGGGGGGGGGGGGGTCAGCAGCCGAGTACTTCAGCCATTTGAGTGCGCTTGCAGCGTTTATTTAATGAGTAAGCTCTCGAAGAAACTTCACAAGCATGCACGTAATTTCGTATAATTTTTCAGAAAAAAATTCTAAATATTACTTTGAGATTACGTGCGGAACGCGACTGGTGAAGCCTGTTCGATAGCTTACTGGAGAACCAGCACTTAGACTTCAAGGTGCGTTCACTATTGTAAAAATCGCGACGTTTTGCGCCGGTAATAACAAACAATAACAGAGCTTCCCTACATTCAGTCAGTTTGGTTCGGGCCGCAGTGCTGTTCTATGTGCGCTACGTTATGTTCTGACAACTGAAAGCTTACGTTGCTAGTGGTACCAGCTGAAGGATAAAATTGTTTCTCGCCTTTTTGCTTCTACCTTTCATCTCTTTTACAACTTCAAGTGCACTATTACCTATCACAAAGCGCTGCTCCTTTCCGAGGTTGTTGTACATTACTTTCGTTTTCTGCAGATTAATTTTAAGACCCACCTTTCTGCTCTCCTTGTCTAACTCCGTAATTATGAGTTGCAATTCATCCCCTGAGTTACTCAGCAATGCAATGTCATCGGCGAAGCGCAGGTTACTGAGGTACTCTCCATTAACTCTTTTCCCTAACTGTTCCCAATCTAGGCTTCTGAAAACGTCCTGTAAACACGCAGTGAATAGCAATGGGGAGATTGTGTCCCCCTGCCTTACACCCTTTTTTATTGGTATTCTGTTGCTTTCTTTATAAAGCACTATGGTAGCAGTTGATCCCCTGTAGATTTCTTCCAGAATGTTTATATATATTTCATCTACGCCCTGATTCCGCAGTGTCTGCATGACGGCTGATATTTCTACTGAATCAAACGCCTTCTCGTAATCTATGAAGGCTATGTATAGTGGTTGGTTATACTCTGAGCATTTCTCTATTACCTGATTGATAGTATGAATGTGGTCAATTGTTGAGTAGCCTGTTCTAAATCCTGCTTGTTCCTTTGATTGATTGAATTCTAATGTTTTCTTTACTCTGCTAGCAATTACCTTTGTAAATAGCTTGTATACTACAGAGAGCAAGCTGATCGGCCTGTAATTCTTCAAGTCCTTGTCATCTCCTTTCTTATGTATTAAGATGATGATAGCGTTCTTCCAATACTCTGGTACTTTTCCCGTCAGGAGACACCTCGTAAATAGAGTGGCTAGTTTTTCTAACACAATCTGTCCTTCATCTTTCAGTAGATCTGATGTTACCCGATCCTCACCAGCAGCTTTGCCTCTGTGCATGCCCTCTAAAGCTTTTCTGACTTCTTCTATCATTCCCGGTGGGGTGTCGTCTGGGTTACTGCTAGTTTTTATAGTATTAAGGTTGTGGTTGTCTCGGCTACTGTACAGATCTCTGTAAAACTCCTCCGCTATTTTAACTATCCTATCCATATTGGTAGTTATTTTGCCTTCTTTGTTCCTTAGTGCATACATCCGCCTTTTGCCTATCCAAAGTTTCCTCTTAACTGCTTTGACGCTTCCTCCGTTTTTCAGAGCGTGCTCAATTCTCTCCATGTTATACCTTCTTACATCGCATACTTTACGTCTATTAATCAACTTCGAAAGCTCTGCCAGTTCTATTTTGTCTGTTGTACTTGACACTTTCATGATTTGATGCTTCTTAATTAGGTTCTTCGTTTCCTGGGAAAGCTTGCCGGTGTCCTGTCTAGCTACCCTGCCTCCAACTTCCACTGCACACTCCGTGATGATACTCGTCAGATTATCATTCATTGTATCTACGCTAAGGTTGGTTTCCTCGCTAAGAGCAGAATACCTGTTCTGCAGTGACACTCTGAATTCCTGTACTTTCCCTCTCAGTGCTAGCTCATTGATTCGCTTCTTGCGTATCAGTTTCTGTCGTTCCTTCTTCAAGTCTAGGCGGATTCGAGCCCGTACCATTCTATGGTCACTGCATCTTACCTTGCCAACCACTTCCACATCCTGCACGACTCCTGGGTGTGCAGTCATTATAAAGTCTATTTCGTTCTTATTTACGCCATTAGGGCTCCTCCATGTCCACTTCATCTCTGGGTTTCCGAATCTTTTTATTGCGATAGAAATTATACAGACACTCTCAGCTGGATTTCACCGCTGGCATCGACGTCGATATCACGCATCGTATATATATATATATATATATATATATATATATATATATATATATATATATATATATATATATATATATATATCATGCGACCTCCGCGTCTAAATGAGAGACCTGAACTATTGAGCCACCGAGGGGTGCCCTCTTCGACGCTCAAACTGCAAGCTATTTGTACCTACCACTTACCGTTGTTGGCGGGAATCTCGGGGGGTGAACTATCGTATTTTCAGCATTATCTGCAAGATGGCGCAATGACCGCGCGGCGGCTCTAATCTCTCACGCGTACTTTGGCCCGCGGAGAGGAGGAGAGGGCTGTGGCCGGTCTCTCGCGCACCCTTGTCTCTCGGTGGGGAGGTTTATTCGTCGTGGCACGTGTAGGGCTTGCACTGGAACGATTCTGTTGTAGTTACGGGGCGCACAAAGGTCACTGCAATCATTACACAGCCTCAGTTTGCGAAATGGGCGCGCTTTTCAGGCACAGTGAAGTGACAACTGAGACTTATTTGCATTCATATGTACCTCTGAGAACGTTTGGTGCATCGTTTGTGCGTGATAAATGCAACACATTTGGATCTACTTGCCATTCTGCGTGTGACCATCCAATTCATTGTTATCGCGTTCATTGCTTCACCTTTGTGGCAAAGCAGTAACTTTTTTCATGCGGCGTAGTGTCTAAATTTGTTTTATAAGGTACAGGGGGACTGAACCCCTTTTTCTGTATGGGCCGAGTTCTTTTAGGCGACCAAACTTAACGGAACATTACCCAGGACCAATGAATGTGTTGCCGTTTTCGCCTCATGTTAAATGTTCCTTGTTTTACTGGGCAGAAGTTCGAGCCCCAAAGCGTTTTATTTTTACCACCTGCGTTTTCCCTATGTCATCCTGACAACCATACGATAATACGAAATGCGTGTTTTCGTGCGATTTTTTTACTGTAAATATCCGGAATCTGTTTCTTATAACACAAATTAAGTCATTTTTTGTTGCAGTCAACCCCCACGGCCATCAGAAACCGTTGTAAGCACGGCTGCTACGTGAAGTGCTGCACCGACGGATATGGGAAACTGGTCCCGTGCGATATACTATGTAGAGAAAAATGTTTAGCGCGATGTCCAAAGGACATACTTCCGCGCAAATAAGGGGGTGGGTGCGTCACCATTGAAAAAATTTGTAAGTGGTGGACACAGGCAATGTCATTTCACGAAGGATGAAAGTGTTTCAATAAAAGAAGCCTTCGCGAACGCCGAATTGTGCAAAAGTCACTAACTTGCGTCAAAAAGCCAAAGTGGGCTCGAAACTGGCACAGATTATGTGGCTCTATCGGCGCTACGTAAGTTCTCCGAAGGACAAGGTAAGATAATTTACCAGTCACGTTACATTGACACCATTGCTTGCATTGCTGCAGTGAAAGTGCTGTCTTGTGGGTGTGAAATACCAGGAATAAAGGGCGCTGATTCGAATGTAACATTATGAAGTTTTATTGTTTATGTGTAAATATATAAGTGGCAGAGATTGTATATGCATTACTATATATAATGACTCAAAAGACGTGACCAGCCCACTGCGGTGGTCTAGCGGCGGCTGCCTTTCCGATGGCGGCAAAATGCTGTCGACCCGTGTGTTCAGATTTGGGTGCACGTTAAATAAACCCAGATGGTCGAAGATTCCGGAACTCTCCACTTCGGCATCTCTCATAATCATATGGAGGTTTTGGGACGTTAAACCCCACATGTCACTCAATCAAATCAATCAATCAATCGGTAGTCCACTGAGAATAAAAACACTCCAACTTCCGCCGCATTCTCAATATCCAGTAGAGATCGACCCGCAGCAGTGCCCATCGCGTGAGCTAGCAGGTGGACATTCAGGAAACGAAGCACATCACATCACGGGCGCAAATTAACAAGCGTGGAAAAACACGGTCATCTTCACGCCGTCCACAAAAGAAACACGAGCACCCCACGACAGGCTTCGTCAGGCTTAGCAATCCTGCTATCTCGAACGGCGGGAGCACGTATGCGCACGTCTAGTCAGATTGAGATGTGGGTCACAACCGATTGACATCACAGACCATACCCGCAGTACTGAGCGGGCCAGAATTATTTTTCTAGGTTGCATTGCTAAGACAATGAGCACTACGACGAACTTTACACAGTTTTTATATATTTTGAGCTTTCAATTTTTTGCTATAAGGTGTATTCTCGGCGGGATTTTATTTACCTGGGCGATTGCGAAATTGGTGGTAAAGATGTGTTGAAACTGGTGCTTAGTACTGCTTCGCATAAACAGCTTCCTTCGACAAGAGTAACCGCAGCTTGAAGCAAAAAAAAAAAAACGAGTCAGCGAAGTTCGCGTAATACCACCTTCTTCTCGATAGATTATTCAGCGATGTGGTGCTCTTGTAGTTCTTAGTCGAAGCTGGCGCGATAGCCTTCAAATCACAATCGACTGTACAAGTAATAACCATCGCCTCTGCTTATTACAGAAAATTCTCCGCGAAGCGAACGTCGCAGTTTTACGCGAAGCGCAAAAGAGCTTTGAAAATACCCTAAGGAAGCCGATATGTCACGCGGTGTTTGTCTTTTCCTTTGCCAAGTTGCCGCAGTGAAATGAAAAAACACGAGTTCACATTCGTTTCCTTACCAAATTTTATGGGAAAAAACTAACCAGATATACAAACTTGGCGCACCCTGAAGTCGTGAGTGGTGCGCCTTGGGCCGTTTCACTAGCGATAACAAGCTATCTGAACTCTATTATACCCTTATCCTGCTGTGTTTACAATATGCACGCATACCTTTTGATTTCTTCCTCAATGTTATGCTTTTTGTATCATCGTAACGATACTTCTTTAAACGACTCCACTGAACACCACCCCTACTTCATTGTTTCGTTGCGATGTGGTTTCATCCGTAGAATTTGTTGCAACGGCTAAGCAACAATATTTTGAAGGGTTTGACATGGTTTTAGAAGGTTCCTTCGAGATTACGTTGAGAACGCGATTAGTCAAGTTTGTTCAGAAGCTTGCAGGAGCCCCAAAAAGAATTATCGGAGATGCGATCACTGATGCAAAAAAAAATGGCAGCACATCCACGGATTGAATGATGGATAGGGGGGCCAAGCATCCATCCGTCCATTTTTTCTTGCTCCCGTCCATCCATGCGTGCGTCTGTGTGGCCGCCCATGCACCCATACGCCCGTCCGTGCGTGCGTCTGTTCGTGCGTCCGCACGTTCATCTGTGCGTCCGTCCCTGCTTTTGTCCATGCATCCACTCCTGCGTTCATCTGTCTGTGCAGCCATCCGTGCATCCATCCATGCATATGTCTGTGTGTCCGTTCATCCACCTATTCAACACTCCAAGTACTACCATCTCATATCTTTTCGTCATATATTCCCGATATACAAGCACCGCCATCCAGCGGGCATTCCAAGTACTAAACAAGAGGAGGCACACGCACACTTTCTTACATACAGTTTTTAATATACATTAGATGGAACTCTGGCGCTATTGTCTAAGGAAGCTGCAACACGCGGCGCTTCAGCGAGCATGGGAATGATAGGTAGTACACGCATTTGTCTAATTTTCGTACTTCTGGCCTGCTTCTGGCTCCGTGTGTGTTCGTGTGGCTTGGAACTGTTTTTTTACGAAAACATAAATTAGCGATTGTTCACCGTTTGCGCTTTACAACCTTATTTTTTTAGGCTGACAATTTTGAATTAAGTCACTCAGTTCAAAAGGGTTCATTCTTTCTTTCAAAGCAAAACCTTAACCAGCAATAAATGAAGCCGCAAGTACGAATCGCCACCCTCAAGTACGAAGACTAGGCAAAAGTGTGTACTACCCATCATTCCCATGATCGCTGAATGATCGCAGCTAAAGAGTTCCCTCTAGTTAATTTGGGGAAACTTTATGCTTTCTTACGGCTTGCACTTCGTTCCTACTGCCCACCTTTAACCACCTGGGATTGGATTGGATAAACTTTTATTTGGTCCTCCAAAACACAGATCACTGTGTTGCGGGCAGCTCTGACGTGGGGACTGAGATGCCAAGTTCCTCAACCGCCTCGCGGGCTTTGTGGACAGCCCAGAGCTGATCTGCCAAGGATGAGCTGCGGATTGCCGCCTCCCATCTGGCAGAGGTGATGTTCGATATATGAGCGAATTTGGTGCACTGCCAGAGCATGTGTTCTAATGAAGCTCTTTCCCCACAATGTGGACAGAGATTACTTGGGTATAGGTCAGGGTACATGATGTGTAACATTTTCAAAGTAGGGTACATTCGCGTTTGCAAAAGCCTTAAAGTAAGTGCTTGGGGCCGGGTTAGATTTTTGTGAGGTGGAGGGAAAATCCTTCTAGACAGGTAGAAATGTTTAGTGTGCTCGTTATATGTTGTAAGAATTTCCCGGTTATCCCCTTCACCGGTAGAATGCATCCCCGGAGAGGCGCGGTTGGAGAGTTTTCGCGCTGCCTCGTGTGCTGCTTCATTGAGATTGGGAGGGGAATCGTTGATTTGCCCAAGGTGAGCTGGGAACCAACTCAGAAGATGATGCGTGATGTTCTTGCCTTGCAGTATTCTCAGCGTTTGCACTGAGACCGTCCCCTTGCTGAACGCCCGTAGTGCTGCCATGGAATCACTGTAGACGACTTCAATGTTATCCATCTTGAGTGCTAAGGCGATGGCCACCTGTTCCGCAATGATTGGGTCTTTCGTCCTGACTGTCGCTGAGTTGACGACATGGCCAGCCCCATCGACCACCACTGCCACAAACGCTTTTCCATTGGCGTAGGATTGGATTGGATAAACTTTTATTTTATTGGATAAACTTTAATTATTGGCGTAGGAAGCCGCGTCAACAAATACGACTCCTCGTTCTTCGTTTGAGACTTGACGAAGTATAGTCCTGGCCCTCGCTACTCTTCTTCCGACGTTGTGTTCTGGATGCATGTTTCTTGGTATAGGAGACACCGCGATATTCTTCCTGATGTTGTCAGGGATATCATTGTAATTGTGCCTGATTGCCATTGGGTGTTGGCCCAGCTCCTGCAGAATCATTCTCCCCGACCTAACCACCTTGAATTCATGGTATATACTAGTTCACTGTAGTCATGGCACTGCGGCCCAACGCTCACTAGACCTTTCCAAAACCTAAGAGGCTACGCCCAGCGAGTATAACGTAGCTACCCTTTCTTGTCTTCTGTGCGTTGTTGAACAATAAACAATTCGCAGGGGCGCGTTGACTAAAAGCCGCATTCTCCTGTCTGTCATTCCCCCTTAGCAGTCATTGACATGTACAATGAGCACTATCTCTTATTGATAAACAACGCACAGAAGAAATCTCTCGCCGGCACCACTTTGGAGGTCAATATGTTATACTTGTTACACACTACAACGGCTACGAGGGATGAACGGATGCCGCTATAAGAAGCTTCGCTCCTAAAAAACGCCGTTTTTTGCCGATGCCAAAAAAATTTTTATGCAGTTCCAATAGAATTTGAGGAGTTCCTGCACGCGTTCTTCTAAAAAAACAGCGCATAATGTCTTTCACACCAATGCAAGGTGACCTTCACAAGCTTTCGCTGTAAAGTTCCCAGGTTGAATTATCATGTTAGCCAATCTCGCTCCTCATTTACAAACCTATGGGAAGTTTTCACTTAACTAAACATTGTATATCACGTTCTTCTCTTATGTCGCCGTCTAGTCTAACTCTGCCAAATGTTTCGTGAAGAGCCAACTTGTATGCTGAGATTATTATGTAATCGCAAGCTCTCGAACAAACTTTACAAGTCACGTTCTGCGCGTAATCACGAATGAATCTTTTAAAAAAATTTCAAAAGATTCCTTCGAGCTCACGCGCCGAGGGCGACTAATGGAGTTTGTTCGAGAGTTTACTGGAGCATGAGCAAATAATGTTGAATGAGTGATCACTGATGTAAAAAATAGGCAGATGCCTCGTACAGTGGGAATCGATGATATGCGAAGCACGATTGAGAAAAGTCGATATGTCACTTTGAGATCAGCACAAAGTTACGAGGTGGAGGTAAATAATGCGGTACATAACTTCCGTATTATGATTATCAACTTTTATAGTGTTGTTTACCTTCGTGTTCTATTTACGTCACGTGATAACCAATGTTGTATATGTGGAAATGGCCACGAGCACGCCATGAACGTGGTATGTTGTCATTCTCTTAGATGACACGCGTGTCAATATTGTCGCGTTTGCAACAGTCATATACTGTCATCAACCAT